GATGTTTTTTTTATTTTTGGTTGGTTTTTTTTTTTTATTTTTTGGGGGTGTTTTTTGATTTTGGGTTTTTTTTTTTTTGTTGTTTTTTTTTTTTTTTTTTTTTTTTAATAGGATAACCCTTCCAATAGTCAACACTGTACAAGTAAGAGAAGGTTTCTGAATGTCTTCCACCACACTCAGTGTTTTGGAGACCATAGTCTTCATCTATCTGTCAGGTAAGAAAGTGATTATGTGATATTAACCCCAAAAAGCATCCCTACAGCTCCCCCCCCCATCAGACTGGCATTTAAAAGTGCATTCACAGAGCCTGCAAATCAGGAAGTCTGTTTCAAAGTGGCTGCAAGCTGAAGCTGGCCCTTCGCTCTGCACCTGCACCCTGTCATGAGCAATGTTTGCAACATGCAAATCCCACATTTTCATATCCAAATCCCCCAATCATAAGGTGCCCAGGAGATCCTACTTCCTCTCACTCAAAAATATGAAGGTCCAGTTTAGAGAGCTTTTTTAAAAAAATCTAATCCCCGACAAAACTCAATTAATTCTTAAAGGATTTTGTTAAATGCATGATGACTCAAGGACTGTTAAAATTCAAATTATTACAAGCATAGTCTATGCTAAAACCTTACACTGTAAATAAGGTTGTAAATTCTTATTAATAACATAAGGCAACAAAAAGTCAATAAAGGAATGAAGTTTAAACATTTTATTGGCTCTTTTTTCTTCCTTGAGCAAGAATTATTTCTAATGCAAGACGAAGTGTTAGAAGACGTGATGATCCCCTTTGGCTTTTGCCTAGAAGCTGTTGTGAGGTTTCTTTAACTGCGAGACTTTCATGGTGGCCCCAGTGCTGCAGTACATCTGGCTGAAAAGATTTCCTGTACTTTCCTAAAAGGGTGCTGTTATTGTTCCTGTTGCCCTGGCCATTTCCATAAGCCTTTAAAATGAACCCAGGTCCCATACCAATGTTGCAAGCCAGCATTTTAAAGGTGAGGGGAAACTTTAAAGTCAAAGTTGGATGTTGCAGGTATTCACAGTCATCAGACCATGGGAATCTTGAAGTGTCCTTAATCTGCTTTTACCATGCATTTGAAATAACGGCGCACCCTGATGCTTGCAAACTGTATTCCTTTAGCATAGGAAATAAGAACCACATATGTTTAATATATTAACATGTGCAACACTCACTTGGTACATGTGGCCCACTGATGTGATCATAGGCTTTCCTCAAGTTCTCTCTTCAAATCAGAAAGCAGTATCACCCTTTCACCTCTTATATCCTGAGATCCCACACCTACACCGTGCTCTCCTGCTTATTCAGATAAGACCACTGCTGCACAGGACTCTGGAATTTTGTCCCAGGATGGTGTGTGGTTCTGTTTGTCTGTGTGTGTGCACAAGGGAGGGTGCAATCACTTCTAGAGAAATTGTGGCACAGCCTAAAAATCTGCCACATTCGGGGAAGTTTCTGAGGCTGAGCTGAACGCGTTTGACTTTAGCAGTCTATTGTCCATGGAGGGATCTTGGAGTTTCTGGCAGACACTCCTCAGGCCAGGCCCCAGGTGGCTCATCTTTGAGTGAGAGCAGGGAAAGTGTTCCCCCTCGCTCCTCGGAAAATGAGGAAAAGGCACTGTGTTTGCTGCTCCTTGGTTAAAAGTATCCTTAATGGCCAGGTCTGATAATAGCATCATGAACACATTTCAAAAGGGATTCGCACCTCCAAGTGTAATGTCTCAATAGTGTACAAGCCCCTGAAGGTGCCAGGGGTGTAGGCTGTATGTGCCAAACTGAAGCAGGAGCACCTGCAGCCTCGGCCGGAGGGTGGGCACCTGGGGTGGTGGGCTGGCAGCAGGGGCAGAAGGCAGCTTTGCAGCAGATTGGGGGCTGCAGAGAGGGAACAGGAAGGTCAGGAGGAGTTGGTAAGGTTTGAAGAGGGGGGCCCAGCCTGGGACATCTACCCTTAGCCCATCCCTTTCCTGACCCTACCAACATCCTCCTTCACTCCTTCACTGCCTCCATGGTGGGGCTGTCCCCGCTGTATGCTGCAGCCCCCACGTGGACCCCTGTGCACCTTGGGGCTGGGAGGATGAGGGCAACCAGACTGCAAGGGGGTGGCATTTAAGCTCCTTCTGCCTGCAGGGCAGTGGGCTACCAGGCCTTGACCCACCTTGGCATGGCCACAAGAGGAAGAGCAAAGGGTTGCATCCATAGCATGGGCTTTTCAGGGTCCAGGAGCCAGTTCCTTTCTCCCCTGGCCTAAGCAGAGCAGGTGATCAGACATTACTTACTTGCCTTGGCAAGGCATTACATGCCTTGAGCCTGCTCTGGACTCAGTACAAGACAATAAACATTCATTAACTCCCTGCCCAGCCTCCATGAAAAAAAAAGGCACCTGGAGTAATACTATAATGCTGGCTATGGCATACAGAGAAGTGACTGTCTCTCTCCACTGTATATTTACATTTATTGTTCAAGTTAGCTTTGTAATTAAAATGGCATTAAAAAAATTAAATATCTGGGCTTCCAAGTCCCAGATCTCTTTTTATCCTCAAACTTGCAAGGAAAAGAAAGATTTTTGCAGGGAGTATATTTCTATTCCCAGTTGCAGGATCTCCAGACTTTTTATTGTTTAATTCACGTGCATGTAAATGTAGGGATTGTGCAAGCCTTGGCAGGTGATGCTCTGGAAGTTGTTTCCACTGCTGAACAATTTAAGCAGCTAGGTTTCATAGAGGTTGGCAATCCCTTCCAAGACTGCTGAATCTAGGCCAGGATTTAGGGCAGACCTGCGTGGTGCTATTAGAAAGCATAGGTTGTGTGCAGTTAGCCTGGGAGCTGGAGAGCAGAGAGTTACAGTCCTGCCTGTGTCCAGTGGCTTTAATAAAGAATCCCATTTATATTCATTACCGCAACCAAGTCCTGTCTCTAATCTATCGCAAGGGACACTACAGATACATTATTTCTTTGTAGTCTCAAAATGCTCAGATGGTTTTTAACCTTATTAAATCTAAACCCCTTAAATGTGCTTCTGAAGCAAAACTTTTAGCAATAAGCTTCCCAAAAAGTGCAAGATTTACAAATCAGATTTATGGCTATGTAGTGAGTTAAGTAACATTTCTCTCAGCATATAATTCGCCAAAATTAGATTAAATTCCCTACTTCAACAGAACAGGGAGCATTAGGAACATCTACTGTGCTGGTAGATCAGGTTGTTAGTGCTCTAAGAAACAAGACAGCAAAGTGTTAATCTACATGGATGATTTTCTAATGGTTGTTGCATTTGAGGAAATAATAAAATTTTGTTTGAATTACAGAATGCATCAAAGTCCTCAAGATTTCACACCAACTCTACAGGAATAAAATTGGTTATAATCTCCCAGAGACAGTATCTCCATTTTCTAATAAAAGCCCCAATTCTTTTAAAAGGTCAAACCACAATCCCATGTGCTCTGACCCTATGCAACTACGTGATTGTTTCTAAGTGTGCAGGTACCATCTCAGAATTTCCAAGTAAAGGGTCAGCCTGGGTGTTTCAGAGATACCATGGTACATGGTACAATACAAACGGCAATTTATTTCACACAAAATAAAACATACGTGTGCGGAAGGTAGAGGTATTGATGAATCTAAAACCAAGAGTCAGATCCTCCTAGTCAGATTATTAGGGTTTGGTTTTTTTTGGTCAGAAAATGATGTAAATAATCCTTAGGAGGACAAGAAGACTCAGTGTGACGAAAATAGTATGCTACCAGGTTTTTGCTGACTTGTGTAATAACAGCAAACTTTTTGGTTACAGAAGGAGGAAATACTGCATAGACTGGACTTTGATTTCAGCATTTGGTAAACAGTATGATAATGCAGATGTTTGTTCATTTTTCATCTACATTTTGGGGCCACATGTTTTCAGTCAAGTTTTGGAGACTTACTTTCTGAGCTAAGTGTATTTTTTTTGACTATTATTTTAGGTAGGGCCAGCTGGAAACTAAGGAAGGGGGAACCAGCCTAAAACAACCTCTACACTTGCAGTCATTTTACAGTATCAGTAAAAGAAAAATTCTATGAGAGAGTATAGAATTAGAAGCCAATCAATGGAGCAAGAAAATGGCCTTAGAAATACCAGTGTTAGCATCTCAGAGGCAGTGATTCCTCTGGAAAGAGTTCTAGAGTGGAACCTTCTCCCAGCACCTGGGCCTGGCATTGGGCATGTATATTCTGGCAATTTGGCTGAGTACACCAGCTGAAAAATGAGCAAATCTACACTGTGAAATCCTGCAGCCAGACACAACAGGAAAGCAAAATTGTCTGTCTCTAGGCAGACTGGTACAAAATACAGTCAAGGGATACATTTTCCCTAGACAGAGAAAGTAAAAGTTGGATGAGTGTTTTCTCCATCTGCCTGTTTTCAACAATAGTGTTCAAAGTGACCAGAAAACACTTCAAAATAACATGCAATGTTCCTCTGCGGGCATTTCTACACGTTTTAAGTGCATATTCCTAAATGGGTACATACTGCTTTTGTCTCATGGAACACATAACCTAAAAATGCAATGCTACAGACAACAAAGTGTTTGGTCTCTTCATTGGTATCCTCCACCTACCAGTGACTGGCAATTCCAGGGAGAAAGGATTTCCATGAGTCACAGTGATTTATAATATGAATCCATTTAAAGTACATTGTATTTGTAACTTTTATACTAAATGGAAATGTATTAAAGGCAGTATGAACCAGTGCTCAAATGGATTTACAATATACATCCATATAAATATGAAGTGTCTACAAAAAATCATTTACAGAAACTTTGTTGTTAGGTCTGTATTTCTTTGAGGTCCTTCTACATATTCTTAAAGCAGTAGGTGTTAAAGTATCTACTCTCTAAATTGTATTCTGGCCCATAAGCTTTTAACTTGGAAATAGATCCATCTGCAATGAGGTCTGTATTACTTGAGAGACAATCTTGTTCTAAATATGTATTGCCTTCAAAGCAATAGATATCATCCTTGAAGTCTGGGTTTGTTGATACCTTGACAAATACTTTGAAGAAGGAAGTCTCAGGGTGCATTTGCAAACTTGGCACTTGGCAGAAAAGGGATTGTGAAGACACAAAGTAATGGAGTATCAGGTTCTTGGTCTGGTTTCAGGTGATATCCCAAATGTGTGAGGGGTAAAACTGCTTTATTAGGCTTTCATAGCGATTAATCAGAGGAA